TTGATAAAACATTTATTCATTATTTTTATTCATGCATACGAGTTGAAAATATTATCAAGCCATTAAATACATTTATAACTCAATTACATTAAAAAATTACAACAATATTTAATTAATTTTGCAATTACATTGGATATACTTTCCACATGGATAATCTAGGATTTTTGTACAATTAATTTTATTGTCACATATGAAAAAAAAATCTAAATCATTAAAAGCAAAAAAAAAAAAAAAAAAGTAAAAATTTTTGTCCTGGGTAAGATGATAAACTACATCTGTGTCCTGAGTAAGACAATAAACGACATCCAACAGCAAGGCAGCTAATCAGGAGATTTTGAAGAGTGTGGAACTACCTATTAATTGCTGGTGAATCCAGGTCTACAAATGAACTGTACAACCGTTCTGGGTATGGCAATAAACTACGTCCAATAGCTAGGCCTCTAATCAGGAGGTTTTGAGGAGCGTAGAAACAACTCTTAATTGCTGGTGTTCCCAGGTCCACCTTGATCTAGGGTGGTAGCACCTGTTAGGGTCCCACCTATAGGCAAATAGTTGGCCCCCGAACTGGGGTCAAAACACTATGAAATTGTAAAAATAAGATTTAATACCAGCAATATATTTTTGTAAAAGGTTATTACCAACAATGAATTTTTGAAAAAAAAAAAAAAAAAAATTACCAGTAAAAAAAATCTTGTCAGCATTAAATGACCCATTGAGGTTGATATGCCATAAAACAAACCAAACCAAAGCAAAAATATCCAAAGAAAGTTAACACAAAATAAAAGCAATGTATAAGCAATTTGAACTCCTATATTTTGGTATAGAATAATGCTTCATGTTACTATAACAAGGGAATATCTCATTAGTAATTAGGGAGGTCAGGTTATGTGATTGAAAGAATATATAATGTTACACTGTATTTTATAGAATAGATATCAATTAAGTTTCCTCAGCATAGAGTAATGGTTAGCTTGCTAGTCACACAAACTATTACTGTGAGATCAATCCTCACTGGGCATCCCAGACTCATGACCTTGCACCAGACTAAATTGAATTTAGTATATTTTCATAAAGCCATTCTCTTTAAGAAAAGAAATATTTATTCCACTTTTATTGTATTAATAACATTCAACATATCTTTGTTATATCAGAAATAAGAGGAAAAAGTCTCAGATATAAAGACCTGCAAGAAATCTCCAATATATCAATATAAAGGAGGAGAATTTATGTCAGACAAATTATCCCTACATGACTATTATTTTGGAATCTAAGAGACATGTTGTCATATTGATAATCAAACTACATTTTCTATCTCAATGCAAGAAAATCTTTTCTAATGTAAACTAGAGGCAATATTTTTAAACTATTATCTACAAGAAGGAAGATGAAAAAAAATGGAGGGCTACCTACCTTATGTCTCACATGTCGGCCATAGTCCTTGCAAATATAACACATGAGAGGAGACATTTTACACTCATCTTCCAGACAAGTGAATTCTACCAAGTGCATTGGGTGGTAACTGCATTTGGGATTTTCACGTGGCTTCTCTGACAAAGCCACCCTCTTGTGTCGTGCTAGAGTCCGGGTGGCATGGGTAATGTCTGAACACTCAAGGCAGAGGTGGGTGCCACATGTTGTACAGTATAATACAGCTGTATGCATTTCATTTTCATCACATGCAATTGCAAGCTGAAAAAATTTTTAAAAAAATATGCTAATTAAAAATTAACTGGGAACAAATCACTTGTAATTTTATTTTGCTTTGAAACAAGAAAGCAAAATCAATATTTTGGGGATTAAAATATTTCATAATGTTTTCAAATTTACAAATTTGAATTTCTAAATCTTTTGGAAAATATAAAAGATAATGTGACATAAGGTGGACTCTCCAATCGTGAACGATAAATGAGGGTCAGCAGTGGATGTTGCCTTTTGTTTTACACTTATGCATGCTAGCAGGGGCTATTCTGGGGAAAATCAGATAAGGGAAGGGCATATTTCATTTGTGCTTTCTTAAGTATGATACTAGCCCAGCCTGACACTGACAGATGAAATTTGTTAAAGCAGGATTTTTATGACTTTAGAGCTTGATGAAACTGATCACGGTGATTCAGACTGTCTTTAAAACCATTTAACTTAATGAAACATGTCTTATGCCACTCCTTTTGGTTTGATGCTTGGGCTTCCCAGGTCTTCAGATCAAAGTTGAGACGTTTCAAGTTGTCTTTCAATTTGTCTTTGTCGCATAAGAATGGACGTCTAACTGAACGCTTGGAGTTTGGTAGTTGTCCATACAGCACCTTTTTTGGAAGCCTATACTCATCCATTCTCACAACATGACCAGCCTACCTAAATTGTATCTTTGCTAGAATGGTTTCAATGCCTGTGATATCGTTACATTTCTTCAGTATTGCACAATTCTTGACCCTGTCATCCTATTTTATATTACAAATGGCACAAAGACAGCGCAGTTGTGACATTATTTATATATATATATAAACATATATTGTTAAATATAACAAACAATGAATGTCTATTATGTTTGATCATGAACCGTTCTAAGCTTCATATAGTGGCTTTAATTTTAGGAGAAAATAAAGACAAAAACTATTCAACATTTGGATATTTTATTTATTATGCTGTTCATTGATCTGTTATATTTAACAATATATGCTTGAATAATGGTCTGCTGCCCTAATACAATATATATATGTGTGTGTGTGTGTGTGTATATATATATAACTGGTTGGAAGCCATCAATGGTTGCATGCTAGCACAAAGTCATAAGTCATCATGACCAAGGGTTTGAGCATACCAGCCATGTTCAAATTGTTGATCAGGACAGATTATGCACGCTCTCCCAGAAACTGTTACTGAGCTTCACTCAGCATAGTCACAGTATAAACCACATATAAGCTCTGTCAGTGTTGAACATGAGTGTGTTTGAGAAGGTGTCTACAACAGGGATTGGCTTAGCTGCTTTAGCAAGAGTAGGTGGCCATTATATATAGTTAGGTCACATAACCTGATCTTCACTTTTTAATGTCATATTTTTTCATGGCATTACTTGATAACAAATAAAGAAATATCTCATTAGTAAGTAGGGGAGATCAGACTACTATAACATTGCTTTTTATTTCTTGTTTCATGTTAGCTTTCTTGTTTACTTTTAATGATTCAAAGGAATTGTTTTTTATATGCAACAATAGAGGTAATTGATAAAAATGCTTGATTACTCATGCCAAAATTATAACCGATGTAATTGCAAAAATTACTTGAATATTGCTGTCATTTTTTAACGTGACAGGTAAGTTAGTCAATACAAAATTTTCTAATTATAATCTTTAAGTATCTTCTGCTTTCATTCAAACATATTGTAAATCTATATTTCTACATATACTGACTTTGTGATTCTGTAGATCTCTTTTGTCATTGGTCTCTCATCAAGTATTTGGGGAATCTCAAAGATACTTTTCATAAAATTATTTTAATTAAAATTCTGTAGATCCCAGAAAAAAAGACCAGTGTAACAATTCTAAAAGTAATTTTTCTTCACTTATACACGTTTATTTAAACGCACAAAAAACTTTGTTCAATCCTTGTCTTATAAATTCATTTCTATAAAGATATGATTTATATTAGGTACCTCCACAGAAAACATAATACCTAAGGATTAAAATGAATTTTAAAAATGGAAAGTTTTTATTTTAATTTCAAGCTAATAAAGTATTTCCAATAAACAAAATATTTTGCTGCATTTTAGAAAAATAATTTAAGACTAATTTAAATTGACAGGAAGGAGTTTTTTTTTCTTTGTGAAAATCACAGCTGTTTAGCGTCTTTTTTTTTTAGTTGCCTTTCATTGCAATGCAATTCTTTTTATTAAACGAAATCTTCAAAAATAAAATATACTTTTCTGAAACTTTGAGGAATACTAGCTGATTTAAAGTATAATTAATCTGATTTGAAACAAATATTTTTTTTATTGTAAGTTTAAAATATCACAGAAATGCATTTTTTTAACACAGCACTAGCTGTTTATTTAAGCTGTTTAGGTGTTTGACAGCTTGTCATGTATGGGCCATCTTCAAAAATCAGCATGTTTATATACATACAAAATTATTCAAATTTTTTTTTTTTAAATATTGGTGTTTGATGAATTGTACTAAGCTTTTCTATTTATTATTAGTAAATATAGTTTTTATTTAATAATGATATCATTTAAAAGGGTGAATACAGAATTTTAAAAGATTTTAAATTTAATAAATTATTATAATTAAAATTTAAAAACAAATGTAAATAATTCTTGTAAAACTTCATTATTCATCCAAAAATTTTTTTCTTACAACAATAATGTACTTAATATATCTTATTTATAAAAGCAATTAAAAGCTTCTATAATTAAATGTGATAATTTTATTGCATTTTTTTGTTTTTCAGTAAATGGTGTTTCTATTTTACAAAAACAAATTGATGATTTAAATTCTCCAAGGAGTCATGATTTTAATTAATATAGATATGAAGTGGGTGAAATAAAATTTTTTACCAAGATTTTCTAAATACAAAAATTTCAAAAATAATTTCATTCATTTGTGAATAAGTCCTGAAAATTTAACTAAAATCTGACAATTTTTTGCTTTTTGAAAGAATTTACAAAAAGTGTTTTGTAATGCAAAGAAAACACCAAATTTTCCATACTAATTGCCCAATAGCCAATGCAAGAAAAATGAGATTTTTAACCAAAATTTTGAATGATCTAGAAAATTTAATAAAATAATAAAAAATACTTTGGTCTTTCCTCTTAATAATAACAAACATTTTGACAATAAAACTTTGTTTTTCTCAAGTTTGGCAACTTTTTTCATCATATTATGCTCTATTTTTCACAAATTAATGGAGATATTTAATTTATATCTAAAAATAAAAACATTATTCAATGTATCATATAATTTAAATTTTAACTTGGCATTTATCTATTAAAATTACAAATTCTATCTTTCCACCACACTCTGGATATAAACAAAAATATTTTGATAAATTTGATTTAAATAATAGAAATAGAAAAATATTTCAAAGGAAAGGATTTGTACCATTTTGTAGGGTACATTTACTGCGGAATCACATATACAGTACTAAATTTGATAATTTTTTCTCTAAACATATTTTCACTACAATTGTTCAAATTTAAAAGAGAATTATGGAAAAAATGATTTTTTCAATATAGAAGTAGATTGTAATTGAAATAAAATTTTTTACAGTTTTGTTTAACCCCCAAACTAACAAATCTTCCAATCAATCAATTTTTTGCCAAAATATTTAAAAATTAAAAGATAAGAAACAATGATTTTATTAACCCATTAACTGCCAAATTTTTTTAATGTGCATTTTTGGCCCAGACAGGTGTCTTAGGAGTTTATTTATTCCTTATGCTTAATTTCAGTAGTTACCATTATCGTTTTTATATAAACTAGAACATCAAATATATATGTGTATAAAACATCAAAAAATAATATTGATTAGAAATAATAAAAAAATACTTTTCAAAATAGTCATTATTTTTCTACTCGTGAAATTATGACAGTGTCTTCTTATGGCTAATAATAAAAACTTTAAAGGCTAAGTGTTGTAAAATATATCTCTGCAAATGCAATGTATATAAGCAATTCAATGTAAATACAAGGAATAACATGTAGTGAGTTTAATTTTAACAGGTCCCCAAATGGGGCTCATAGCAGGTAAGGGGTTAAAAACATTTTTAGATGGTTTCCCAAATTCAAATTTACCTCTGTATATATGCAGAATGAAAGCCAATATTTTTTAACATTATTATATACCTCCTATTTAGACTGCCCCTTTTCAAAATATCAAAAAGTTTGACATTGAAATATGGCATGGCTGATAATGTATAGAGGGAAAATAATGGTCATCAACCACTGTGAAATGACATCAAGATAATAGACATAGATCAACACTGGAGGATAAGAGGATTGAATGAATTAAGCTCTAACAATCTCCTCAATCAACCTAGCATAGATAGAAACATCTGGCAACTTCATTAAGAAATAAAGAACATTCAAAAATTCCTCTACATGAGTACAGACATTAGCAGACACATGGCCAAGTGAATTAAAGTGTTGGTCAAAGTATATCTGTTTCCCTGTCAGTTGCGAATTCAAACTCTGGGTTGAGTAGAGCAAAAAATGTTATATACCCCAATTCTGTGGAAGAAACAGACCAGCAAGACACAGGCAAATAGAGTGGAGAGAAATGATTTGAGACACTCCCTAAGCATAGAAAGCAGAATGAGAACAATCTATCTTCATGAATTAAATAAAGTGTTCAATTGAAAATTCTGGAGTACAACAGCTAAAATGTTGAGTATAACAACCAAGACGAATATGTTGGTATGAATAGAAAGACATATAATAATGATTATTTATCAAAATTCCAACATAAGACATTTAAAAAATCTACTGGAATTGATTAAAGATTATAAAAAGTGGTATGTGTTACAGTAATAATATATGGTATGTAGTAAGTCGAAAAATATAATTCTGTACATAATGTTTTATATCCTGAAACCATATATATATATATATATATATATATATATATATATATATATATATATATCAGGTAATAGAAATGACATGTGTGGGTGGTGTGTTATGAACAGCTGAGTTTTAATTCCAGTCTAGTTCATTATGTTCACTTATGTGCAAAAGGTAGGAATTCATCTCTTCTCCCCCAGCTATGGGTTAAATAGTAGGAAGTCTATCTGAAAAAATCATTGTTATCTCAAAAAAAAACAAAAAAAAAAACAATGTTAACACTCACTTGCAAAAAAAAAAAAAAGAATTGTTCTCACAACAGGGTTGATAAGCCATAAAAAACAATCAAGAGTTAATAAAAATACTGTTTAAGAAAGCAATCATTGCAGATATCTTTATCACTGGATGGCCAGAAAATCTAATGGCCTTATACATAAATTCTAAAATTACTCAACTGTAAAATTTTCTATTTTTACTTACCTCTTTTTCCCTGGCTAATGCTTCCTCAGAGAATATCTTCAATGGGATCTTCTGTGAATATTGCAATTTTTCTAACAATTCTAAAAGAGCAAAATTTTTCTTTAACCCCCAAACTCCAGAGTCTCCAATTTCTGTGGGTTGTCTATCAAAAGGGCAGAGGAGAGCCCTTCCATGGAGAGTTAGACGTGTGAGACATTGGTGACACAAGGTGTGGCCACAGTACAGCAGGCGTGGGACCTTATCTCCTTGACATCGGAAGACCTCCACACAAAGACGGCACTCAAGAACAGCCTGCAAAAGAAAAACAAAGAATTCATCACAATAAACACATTTCAAAATAAGAAACAAATCTACAGAATACAATGAGATCATCTCTCCAGGCTGATATCAAGAAGGCACTGATTTGACAAATCAAATATGGTGAGATTTAAATCTGGGTTTCATGTTTGAAATCTTCTAACTACTTCAAGTTTAAGTGAATTTTTAACAGCATATCAACTCTTTGGAGTCATTTTATGCCAAAACTGATTTATTTTACTTTATATTTAGGGAAAATGGACAATCACTGTTCTTTTTTAATAAATTTCAGACATAATCCAACTGATTTTGGGAATGTTACAATTCTATTTATTTTAATATTTTCAAATAGTTCTTTCATGCAGTTTGCTTTGAAGAAATTGTTTCATTTGGAATCAAAATCAATGCATTCAATTAGAAAAATGTTTTACTGTATATTGGGTTTGACATGCCGGACACCATGGTGGTTCATGAATGCATAATTTTAGTGTGACCTATGCATAGTTGTAACCACATCCTTTCAAGATTTTCCATAATGGTAGGGTTTTTTTCCTGGAGCTTGGTAAGATTGTAGTTATTTATTTTGCGTTTTTCTGTTCCATTGTTCTTGCCATTGATTTTGCATGTGTTTCTTAATTAATGGTTTTAGGTCAGTATATGGGATTTGGTAATTTTCAGAATCCAGTCTTAATGCCTGTTTACCACTTGTATCTGTTCTACCATATTCTAAGTTGACCAGATGAATACTAAAGATAATATATTGATAAAGAGAGTGCATGGATGCATGTCCTGTTCACACACATGCTAGGGATTCTCAACCTTATCCTGGCTAACTCAACAATCACTTAATAGTGATATCAGCCTGTAGTCAGTTTTTTATATTTGTACATCTTGTACCTTTTAAAGTAGAACTTCTCAAAGTTATTTTGGCTGCCACCCCTTAAGGCATGCATGTTAACTTTTAACACTTTCTTCTGTTTATTCAAATGGACAAACAAAGCAAATGAAAACTAATAATCACTTAAACAATTTATTGCATAATATTTTATTACTAGTTTTCCTCTATCTTCTTACTAAATATTCTGGGTCAATAAAGTTTTGCCTGATAGGAAAATAATGAAATAGTTTTTTGACAAATTTTCAACTTGCATTCTACATCTCAGGAGCCTGTCTTCCAGCGTAAATCAACTGAACATGAAAATGGGCTCCAAGATGTGTGTTATGAGTTCAGATCTTTGCAAGAGCCACTTCTTTATTTCCTATTTCAGCCTTTTTGGTTTATAAAGTGTTGTGATAAAAATAACAACAACACTAACAAGCTAGTCACAAATTAACAGTTCTCGATCCAAAAAGATATCGACTCCATCATCAGTTAATTTTACTTTCTTACTCATTCTTTTGGTGGTGAAAAAGAAAGCTTTATTTTTATCATTCAATAACAATAGGATACTGTTAGAGTGAAACACACCTATTATATAGTTAATAGACTCTCCCACCTAATATAAGTAGGAGTAGTAATAGAAACGGGGGGTCGGTGAGTAAGTCAGTCGATGTCGGACGACAGTTAGTCAAATACGAAAGTACCAGCGACCACAACTATATTACTCTGCGTAATACTTATTATATCAAGTTCCTACCGTTTTGTACATCGGACCTATTTTAGGACCGACTTAGTACAAATACAAGCCTCCACTGCGAAATAACTCCACAACAGATACCCACCATCAAAAACATTTTAGTTTCAAAGCTACAGTGAATGCAGTCAGCAGCAGCACTTATCAGCAGGCAGTTTAGGTTTAAGGCTCTGAGTTCTTAAACGAGAATTGTCCTATGGGACAGTAGCCTAGTGGATTAAAGTGTTGGTTCATGAATTTGGTGACATAGTAATTATGAGTTCAATTCCTGATTCAGTGGTGAGCAATAACTCAGTATTAAAAATAAGAACTAGTGTCTAAATAAGAATAGTCTATCATAGTGTCTATCTAGTATCTAAATAAGAATAGTCTATCATAGATTATATAAAGGTTTCAGTTCAGAATTCCATGTAGGTTACCAGGATCAATATACACCTGATTAAGGCTGGTGGCATAATGGACAAAGTGTGATAACAACATCAAAGATGGGGACAATAGTCCACATGTAAATAGCGTAAATAATGTACTGTAGAATTTACAAGACTGGGATTATGAATTCAGAGACAAAAACAATGATAAACTGTGAAATTTTAGATATTGATATTCTTGGGAATGCATGTCTTATCTCTGCTGACTCAGCATCTAAAAAGTGGAAAAAAAAACAATACAATTGGATTTTGACTAAAAATAACATCATTTCCAAGTTTGTAGTTTAAACTATTAGGAAATAGATTCTCTGCAGCTTATTAGACATACAAAATTTACTGTATTTTTAATAAAAAAACAAACAAAAAACATTTAATTGGTTCACTTAAATATTTTTTACTAAGAAGGAGCAGCTGATACTAAAATATTTTTGAAAAAATAGAACTGGCCAAACAATTTACAACTTGATTTAAATCTTGTTCCAATTTTATTTGATTATTAATGGCATCAAAACATATTTGTATCCTACACTTAAACACATTTACTTTTTGCATTGAAGAGATACACTGATGTACAAAATAAGAATAATTAAAATTTAATTAATGAATTGTCTTCCTTAGCCCTCAGTTGATGAATTATTTCAGAGAGATATAGGCCAGGAGACATAATGTTCATTTTTTGAGTTCAGTTAAAGGGAAATAAATGAGACATCTGGAAGAGACATGGCATGTGGAACTAGAACAATCCCCCCCAGTGGATGAAATAAATGATTCATTTTAAAATTCCAATCACCTGAAGAAGGCCAGAGCGTATAGCGTCCGAAACGTTTTAAAATTACTTTAAGTAAAAAGTAAGCAGATATTCCTGTTAATCAAAGATGGTTTTTGAAGGTGATGTGAATAAATGTTTAAATATTATCACACTTTACAAGTATGATTGTAAAGTTACCTTTATCTTTTATGAATCTACATTAACAGGTAAAAATTCTGAAGTGTAAGGAATTAAGGAGCGAAAGGAATTCGTTTAATTTCAATGTTTTTTTTCTGATATTGTATTTTTGAGATACAATTATTTTAAACATTAAAAAAATTCAGGTTTCTATATACTTAACTTCAGTATCACATATTTTACAAGCATAATGTGTAATATTTTTAACAATGTTCTTTTTTTGTTCAAGTTTATACTTTTTTTATGAGTTGGAAATTGCTTCTTAACAGTTGTTTTTCTCTTTTAATAGTTTAAAAATATTGCAAGAGGTTTGTTGATGCAGGTCTCCTCAACTTAGATCAGCTAAATGTCATAATTATCACTCTGACATTACTAAAAGATCAAGTAAATCCATAACAGAAAACTAATGATTTTCAAATTTTTTATTCACTGTTGGTACAAGTAAAGTTAGAGTTAACACATGTGGCAAATATAACCAACTTTAATTTAAAATTATTGACTTTTTTCTCCCCACCGCATAAATTTTATATGTATTCTAAAGTCTTTTACACCAAGCAAAAGGTATAATTTTTATCCTAAACACAAACAAATCAAAATCAATTATAATCTCTCTTGTTATAATAATTCCTAAGTTACATTGTCTCTTGGGCAAAAATGGTGATCTTTCCAGCCTTATATTAGATGTCATCTTTCACAACTAAACATGTCAGCTTTTTCACTTCCATCACTTAACATTTACAGAGTTAGACTTAAAACAAATACTTATAGTCTATGGTGTCAAGGTAAAGATCACCAAACTCCTTGTATTAATACTTAAAATATAATAATTGAAATAGCTAGTTTATAAATATTTTAGAGGTGTGTTAAAGAGCTGCACAAAAGCATGATCATAATTATTATATACTGTAGAAACTTGTGTATAAGACTACTTCGTGCAACCCTTGAATTTATTTATGAAAAACCTGATTGTTTCATATAGCCCATGTATAATATGACCCCAGCTTCTAAGCAATACTAGTAGGCCTACTGTAGCCAAATATTGCAGTACTGGGCATCATCCTGGACATATTTGATAGCAAATAAATGGTCTAAATTCTTTTTCATACAAAACTACCCCAAAATGTTGAGAAAAACCACTTACCGAAAAATATCTGATATGAAGATACTTTTGTTTTTGTTCATGCCTAACTATGGTAGCTCCTTTACCCTGAGCTTGCCTCCTACATAGCCTAAGTGTCTTCCTTTTATCTCTACATAAAGAGCAAAATCTTGTACACCATGTATGCTGCCTAAAATCAGCAAATACCTTAATGTGGTGAACAGTCACGTAGAAGCAAGCGAGCCAGATTGGCTTGCATCTGGTGCAAAGAAAAATAAGTGTCTTACCTCAATGTGTGGCATGTGTCATTAGTATTTCGTTCCTTGAAAATGGCATTAATCTCCAGTCATACTGTTCCAACAGTGTGCTGTAATGGTTTTTTTTTTTGTACAGCTTGGCATGGTTCGACCAATAGCAAGTCGTGTGCTGATTGGTCAGACTGGAGGAGGCTATTTGCCTAGGTAACTGAGAACAAAACAAAGAATGCTGATGGGTGGTCAGCCGTGTGTTGGCCTGATAAAACAGGGCTGAAGCAGTGAGTTGAGAGAGCAGTTTTATGTTTGTGAAGTGTGCGGAACGCAAGAACAGTGGATTGAACAAGCGGCATCTTGTATTGTACAAACAACATCTGAGGAATAGAGACCCATTTAATTACACTTATATAAATGAAGAATTATTAGATTTTTTTCTTATCTCAAGTTTGTATTCATCTTCATTTCACAAGTGTTTACATCACCAATATTACCTTTCCAATGACAACTATTTTGTCAGGATTACCAGTACATAATGCAGGGTATCCCACAAGTTGAGTTATATACTTCAGGTCATTCTAAGTAAAAAGTACACTATACATATATGTTGTTTTGCTAAAAGTAAGCTCACTTGGA